GACTCCCAGAACAGGGCTCTCCTGGCTTGTAGCAGAAGGGCATTTGATAGGCTTGTGGGTTTTTGAGAATTAAAACATTCTGTCACTTTGTGAATTGTGTGTGGATGTTCAAGGAAAGAAATATGGCCACTGTTCCATAGACTTGTATTTCCTGGTGTCAGCTCCCCTCATTTTTCACCCATGTTCCCCAGTGCTTGAAAGGGCTGGAATAATCCCTTGAGGAGGAGGAGGAAGTTCGGCAAGTTCTGGACCCATCCTTTTGCCATGGCGGGGCAGCTGCATGTCAACACACTTAAGGCAGAGCTGGCCCCTTCTGAAGCTGGCTCCAGATTTTGGACCTGACAAGTAAGACACAGTTTTAAGGAACGAGTTACCCAATACATCCCTTCCAGCTCTTGTCGTTAGCCTTTAATTCCACTTAGGGGGAAAACATGCTTAATTGTTTCAAAGATTATTACTTTTTTTTAAGTAAATTTCTAGTAAATGGGGAGATTAATAATGGGCTATTTTTTTCTCAGCTTGTGGTTTCTAATTACATCAGTTACAGCTCAGCCTTCCTCTTAACTGGAGCGCAGGCATGAACTGGAAAAGAATGAGCTAATCCTGATAGATCAGGTGGAAGAAAGCCCTCCATTCAGATCTTTACCTTTCATCCCTTGTTCTGAGTGCCAAGAATTAATGCTGTTTGAAAGTACAAACTGATCCTGCCAAGCTCCGGCAGCTGAGATAATCCTAATTATTTTCAATGTTAGTGAGAAGGGCCGCAGTCCCACTCTGGAAGAGGGTTCTATTGTGAAACATTAAATATCTGCTAAGTGGTATTGATTGGACACGATTTTATTTCCAAACACTATGGTTATCTCGAAGCAGAAGGATTTGTTGTTGAGGACATTTTCACAGCTTTTCATCAGATTCCTTTAAGCCTACAGACCAGCAAGAGGCAAGCACTTTAGTACCCCTTGGCAGGGGCACACAGGTAAAGAGCCCATAGCCCCAGGGAAGGCCATTTGCATTTTATTTTCGAAGGGTTTCTTAGTAAGGCTTTGCTAGTGTTTAACCTACAGAGGAAAAACGGTTTTTTTTTTCTTCAGGCATGAATATCGTGTGTTTTCTCACATCACCAACAGAGAATTATTCGTTCCAGGCCATCAATTTCATTCCAACAGATCATTCAAGTTAAAAGTCAGGGGTCTTTGCAATGTGGAAAGACAGAGTGGCTTTGAGTGCGTTTATTATTTTTTAGGTTTTTTTCTTACTTAGCTTTTTTGCAGTATGTACTGTGTCTCAGAAAGAACGCTTTGTTTAGATAGCATCACTGAAACCATCTCAACTGTTTTCTCAATGCTGGTGAGAGCCCTGATGTGTGTAAGATGTGTTTGTTTTTAGCCCTTAGATGCTGTAAGCCTAATTGGTGGCTTGAGAGGAAGCAGGTCCCAGACCTGCTGGTTCACACAAGGGCCAGCCTCCTTGGCTTAGGACCCCTGACTGTGACAGAAGGACAGTCGAGAAGGGCAGGTTTTCCTTTTCCCTCTGCAGTCTACACTTTAATTCATTTCTTCTGTTTCTGGGAAGGCCCAGTGCTCATGGGGAAGGAGAACCCTTAATTGATGTTTGCTACTAATGCTTCCTGCCCCTTCCACCCCTTCCTATGCAGTTGCCCTCTCCCACACGCACAAGAGCGAAACCATAACATTATCAGTGAAGATTATGTGGGTTGAGCATCTCTGGACCAATTACTCTTTCTTTAGGTTATTCCCCAGAGTAGAATTACCAGGTCAGAGGGGATGAACAGTTTTACGGTTCCTTATCACATGTCACTATACTGCTGTTCAGAATGATTGAACCAATTTCTCCTCCTAGCAGTGCTGCCTGTGTCCCTTCGGTGGGGAGGACACCAGGAGTTAGCAGCATGCTTGCCAAATGACACAGACAAGCTTTTTGAGTTGAAACTAAGCCCTCTGCAGGGCCCATTAGGGTCAACTTAAAAGGCAAAAAGGATCCTGTCCAGTTTTTTGAATTGTCTAATTGATACCAAATCATTTATGACCACAGTTGCTACTATGGCCTCCAGAAAAGTTAAATAAAGTTTGTTTAAATGGACGGGTACCCCAAAGGACAATGTTTAAGGATGCTAATAAGATAGATTTTGTGCATTTGTCACTAACAACACCCAAGTCTTTGTGGGCACTTGGGAAGTGCTATCCAAAATGAGTTAAACAGATTGTGACATTAACTTCAACAACTTCTTACTTTTTTTCCCAGAGAATCTAGACTATGTGACTGACTGAATAATGTAGGGACAAATATTTACTATTCTCCCAGCCCTTTTACTAACAACCCTGACTCTACCATATATTTCTTAGTGAAGCCACAGTATTAGTATATGAAATAACACTAATTGATCAATGCTAAACTCCTTTGGAATAACTACTCTGAGACATATATTCTTACTACTATTACCTTCTTTCTGCTAGAAACATGTTTTCCCTAGATTCAGTGTCTTCTTTCTATTTATTTATTTGAACTATACACTTTCCCCCATTCCCCTTCCACCCGTCCCCTGCCCCCCTTCACCCAAGCTCCCAATTTACTCAGGAGATCTTGTCTTTTCCCCCTTCCTAGGAAGATCCATGTATGTCCCTCTTAGGATCATCTTTGTTACCTAGGTTCTCTGGGGAAACAACAATCTCTTATTTAAAGGTAGTCCTAGCCCTTGAACAAATGTGAAATTAACATGGCTTTAAGTTGGGACTGGAGAAACTTAATAGAGGTGCTTTCCCAGACAGATTGAGTTCATTCTTTGCCTCCTCCCTGGAACTCAGTTCCATGCACCTACAGCCTCAGTGGTGGCATATTTGTGGTCCCAATTCACAGATATAAAGGGCAACTGAGACACAAGGGGCCGTCCCAAATTCTTCTCTTGCAAAATCCCCACTCTTCCCTTTCTTAGGGCTAAATTGTCTGAATGAGAAGGGACCAGGATACCTCCTTCAGATTCTCCCCAAGTGCCAATGACAGTTCACTGGGGAGGGGGTGAGTAGCCAGTTTCTAGGTGTGATAATCCCAAATAAGCTGGTATAGGGGCAAGAGCATGCCAGAGACTTGGGGTCCTCTTATAAAACAGGGAGCAGAATTCTCTTAGTGAATGGCTTGAAGGTGAAACACTACAGTAAGGGGCCTCTGAAGCATACTCAATAAACATTCCCTCCCCCACCCCCTTGGCTTGGAGACAGAAAACTCCCTGGTTTGGTGTTGGTGTGAGAATATGTGGTCTTCAGATCTGCCTGCTAAGATGATCTCTGAGCAAAAGTCTAGTGTTTGGACAGCATCTCTTTATAGATGTATTTGATGAGGGGCATATGCATATGACTTGCAAAGAATTTGAAGTTCCTGGAACGACTGGAATTTAGTAAGAAGCCATTGTGTACTGCAATAATGTAAGGGTTTTGGGGACCCCCGTCTGTGTGTGTGTGTCTGTGTGTGTGTGTGTGTGCATGTGCGAGCTGTTTTTGCTGTATTTATATATGTTCACACTTACTCTTTGACACCTATAAAATACTATTTAATGATTTTTTTAGTTTACAAACTCACACCTTCTCTTAAAGAAAATTAAACAAGTACCTTCAATACAAAAATGAATTGTCAGAAAATTGCTTCTCAAATCTATACACTGAGTTTTCAGATGATCTCTTTCCTTGTTGGATGCTGAAGTGTCTATGTCGATGTCACATTGGAGCTTTGGGGTGTAATGTGGTTGGGCAGATTGGTGACAGGCCCACTTTCTGATCTTGGTTCTGTTATTTCTGTGTGGCACCGAAGTGTGCCATCCATTTCCAAACCCATAACAAGTGTAAATAGTGTTCTCTTGTAAAAAGGTCTCTTTTTGGCATGGTAATATACCTTATTAAATTCCAAACCTAATAAGTATTGATGGCAAACACATCAGGACCCAGTTCAGCTTCCACTATGATTTAGTTCTCTACAAATGACTTCAGCACTCAACTCCCAGTGCATTTTGCTAATTACATCATAGATTTCCCTATTGATGAACACAAGCTGAATTAACACAGGAGCACTAATGTACCCTTTCACCATTATTGTTGTACAAGAAGCCGTGGCAGATGCTGGCAGTTAGTTACACAAACATTAGTATTAACGATTGGCCATTTGGAATTGGTGACAAACTACTGCCCGGCAGAATCCTGAGGCCGAAACCAATCAGGAAGTTAATGAGGAGAGAAATTACCGAGGCAGCTTCCCCTTAATTACATTCACACTAGGCATGAAGGGAGTTCTGGGGGTGGATCTAAACTCTGCTAAGGTTAAGAAGGTCAGAGACCCTTTTGCTTAAATTTTGTATCTACTGTGGCTTCTCAGGTTTCAAAAAAAAATGTTGGGCCCATTATTATTTTTGTATCCTTTATATTTTCCCAGTGGAATTTTCATGTTGGTAGACTAGTTCCTTAAATCTCATATTTTAGTGTGATAAAATTTATCTTTTTCTATTAAAAAATCCCTTTTGCTTATCACCTTTTACTTCTTCACAGTTATGCAAGCTATCTACCTCCTTCTCCACTTTATTGCCCAGTGGTAGTCAAGAGAAATATCAAGAAAGTTGACAGGTTGCTCAAATCACCTGCTGGATCTTGCCTTTTTCCTTGGGTGGAAGTGTACGAGGCAGAGTCCTGCTTAGGGATCTCTCCTCCGGTGTGGATCTTTCTAGGAGAGGAGTTTCCTCAGCATCCTTTACATAAAGGGGAGGGGTGGAAAGTCTTCCAAAGGATGGTGTGTTGGTGGTTGCTTCTCAGTGAACCATAAGTCTGGGATTCTGCTACCTCACTTTCCTCTCAGTTAATAAGCAGATGTGCTGTAAATATGACGACTTTTATCCTAAGGAAGTGAAGGAGGGGTTCTGAGGGGCCATAAAAACACAGAGTTTTTGTTGGAACCTAATTGAATACTGAAGAAAGACTGTTTTTAACGTACTTTCTCTCCCCTAGTGTTCTCACCGCCCAGCAGTCAAGATTCTGGCTTGGTTTCCCTCTCCAGCAGCTCTCCGATGAGCAACGAGAGCACCAAGGGAGTTCTGGAATGCGAGTCTGCACCTTCTGAGCCCAGCAGCTACACTGTCAACCAGGTCCTGGAAGAGGATGAGGACGAGTGAGCCGCCGGTCGGTCGACTCGGTGTCCACAGGGTAGTAGAAGGCTTGTTCTGTTATCGGCAGGGTTTGTTATTTGTCTTTTTCCGTTCAGAAGTTTTGGTTCATATTCCTTAGAGTTAGATTAAAACACTTGTAACAGTGTAGGGTTCCTGACTACCAACTGCAAGAATTAAGTGCCTGGCTCACCAAGTTTAAACTATAGTTGAATCTCTCCCCTTACCCACTCCCCCCCACATACAACTAATTGACTATTGGCCCAAGTTAGTCATAATTGCTTGCTACTTTTGGAGTTAAAATGAAATCTTAAGTGCCTTCGATTATTACAAAGTTTTCAGGATTTTAACAAAACCAAGAAA